GTACAAGTCAACATTTTTAATATTATTAATGTTTATTAACAGCATATATCAAACGAATGCTTACTCCAAATTTCACGAATTGCACTTTCAATCCAGAAAAAATAAAATAATTTTAGACGATGGAATGTAACATTTATTTTATTAACTATTTCCGTATGACGAGAAACTGATTTTTCCTGAAAAGATTTTGTTGCGTAAAAGGAAAACTGCTAGAGATTTCCAGATTGCTGAAGGGATCTCTCTATGTTGGTACCAATTCTTTTGTAACCTAGGTAATAAAAAAAAGCGCAGATAGATTATGAAGAAATTTCAAGTCATTTCTCTTATCGTCTAATAGGAACGACGCGGCATACGATATGGAATGAAAGCGAGAATATCTGAAATCATGTGTGAACTTAGCTGAATTAAAACGACAAGTGTGAGTCGAAATTAAAGCAAAGATGAAAGGGAACGAAATAATCCGAAACATAAATGACAGAGAAACTTCGTGATTTGTTGTTAGTGAGGCAACGTGATACTGTCGCCATCAGTTAAAACACTATTAAATTACTAGCGGGTTGGTAGGATTTTTAGTTAATCACCGTTGTGTGGCCTGGAAATATTGTAAAATACAGTATAATGTACTATGACGGTTACTATATAAATTTACATAGCTATATTCAATGTCTCGTTAAAGCCATGTGTTTGTGTATCTAAGCATATATTTGAGTTAGCGGATGCGTGTTTGAACAGGGACTGTCTGTCTCTGTTATTCTGCCTCAATCCTTCTCTCTCACTCTCAATCACCATCCCCCTCTCTCTTTACTTTCTTGCGATGATGAATGTGCACGTTGTTTGTGCGCTTAGTTATGTCTGTTTGAACATTAATAGTTTTGTATTCATGAGTGCAGTTATGCATTTACATAGGCATGTAGTTATGCATTTACATGTGTCTATAGTGGCATAAGAGTATACATTTGTTTATCTCATATACACAAAACACTTTATATATATATATATATATATATATATATATATATATATATATATATATATATATATATGCATACATATGTACATATATATATATATATATATATATATATATATATATATATATATATATATATATATATATATATATTGAAGTCAACAATTAGAGGCGACAGGTTGTTTCATGCCAGACGCAATCGTCAGGTCATTGCGTCTACTATGAAACAGACTGTCGCCTCTAAGTGTTGACTTCAATGTTCACTTTTTATATTTACACACACTCTATATCTGATATTGAGCACTTTATCCCATAAATATAGCACTCCTTTTCAGCTTTTGGAAGTAAAGTCTGATGATCCAGAACCCTGTTAAAGGGGTTATGGTGAAATAGCTTATTACATGGAATCTTAACGTGGTCTGTCTTTTATTCAAACATATCTGCTCTGAATTTTACATTGAGCTCTCTGGATATCATTCTCCTCAGGTCTACCCATACGGATTACCTAAATTTGAATAAACTATATATATATATATATATATATATATATATATATATATATATATATATATATGAGCAAACGATATATATTTTATATATGAAGAACAATATTGCGGAAAAATGTATGACAAAGTGCAACATGTTTTCCTGTGACTCGTTTCGTCCATTAGGACTTCATCGGACTTAATTTCATTGTTTCGTGCGACTACACATGCCCACAAATTAGGGAATGTTGGGAAATTTTAATTGAAAATATTTATTTATTTTATTCACAAGAAACTAAGACCAGGATAAGAAACTGAATGACGAGTTACCCAGTTCCTTCAAATGAGAAAATATTGTTATTTTAACTGTAACTGTAACTCTAGTAATATATGAGTATTATTTATATATATATATATATATATATATATATATATATATATTGTCAATAAGATAGATTATATTTATTATATATGTGTGTAATATATATATTATATTCTGAGGCGTTTTGACTAAATTGAAGCAAAAATAGTCTGAAGGTCTACCAGTATAAAATATGGATCAGATACATAATAAATATCATCAGTCTTAATGCCAATATTGTTATAATTTTTTTTTGTCTTTTATTCTTTTAATTTCATTAACCAGCTTATTAAATCACACACACACACACACACACACACACACACACACACACATATATATATATATATATATATATATATATATATATATATATATATATATATATATATATATATCCGAATGTAATGAGAACGAAAATAATATAAATTCTAAAGTTAAAGAAATTAATTCGAAAGAGGGCTCAATACCAAGATGAGAGCAATAATTATTTTTGTGTAATTGTTACATACGGACAGAAACAAGTTGTCCACTACAAAGATGCATTCTTGTTTCGATGCGACTGCATCTCGACTGTTGAGAACCAAAAATGCTTATGTTTAGTCGAGATGAAGTCGCATCGAAACAAGAATGTATCTTTGTAGTGGACAAATTGTTTTGTCCGTACACACACACACACACACACACACACACACACACACACACACACACACACAAATATATGTTTGTGTGTGTGTGTGTGTTTGTGTGTGTGTGTGTGTGTGTGTGTGTTGTGTGTGTGTGTGTGTGTGTGTGTGTGTGTGTTCCTGCACTTTTCATTGAATACGACACACAAGGTGCTTTTATTTAGTTCTTTTTCTTTATACAATTTCTCCTGCGATCTAATATTTTCTTTTCAGATGATAAATTATACAAAAACTGTCCGAATGTTCTTTTTATCCAAGCGCTTTCGGCTATACATTTAGCCATTTTCAAGGATTAAATATTCTAACTGTTAAATAAGAAATAGTTTGTTGTATGTATGTTTTATAAAATGTTTTCATTTTTCAAAACACGGTCAAGATATTGTGTCCATGTTTAAAGTTAACATTATTAAGTGTTTTTTTTATTAATAAGGCTTCCATTATTTTTAGTCCTTTTTTTGCATGTAGATGATGCTATTATATTAGTGATGTCAACAAGTATGTTAGGAATAGTGTCTAGTAGGTCTCCATGAATATTTAAATGAGATCTAATTGAGCTATGGTCAGAAAGATGCAGAGTGAGTCGAAGACACCTGGCACAGTGGATAAAGGCGTCAGTTAGATCCAGTGACAGGACACAAATAGTGTGAGTTCAATACCCGGCTAAGGCAGTGGAGAACTTTCAGAGGGAAATTAACAGGAAATAACTGATAACTGACATCCATTAAACATGGCACGTGGAACTAAAACAGTCTACCCCAGTAAGCGAAATAAACGGTTCAGTTTGACATTACAACCACCTGAAGAAGGCCGGAGCATACAACGGCCAAAACATTGTAATAAATATGGCAACAAAGACGACAATAGTCCGAATAATGTACATAATACCTCATCTCAGAAATATAGATAGATAATATTGTAATGGCTTATATATTTATTTACGAATTTTGAAATAGAACTCTATGAAAACAATGTTTGATTTTATATAAAAGTATACAAAACAGACCCTACGTAAAATATAAATAAACAATACACGTATGTTGCTGTTTTCCGCGATTAAATGTTTCATGCGGCACTTCAATGTATTAATGATCTAAGCATCTCGTCACTCTTAGCGGCTGAGGATTGTGTGACAACGGCATGAAGTAGACCATTCTGAAAATTTTAACGAAATTAGTAGTAGTTATTCGAAATTTATTAAGAATGTAACGTAATATGCAATATTGTAATGATTTCAAACCGCACTTGGTGTCCCACGCATTTATACGCAACGTACGAAGCCATATAGCTATCCATTAGTTTTGACATATCAGGGAATTCACTAGATTAGCCTGTTAATCCCTTTTGCCGACGTCAATTCAGTCCGTTTTTTTTTCATTCTTCAAAATTCAAAGATACACCTTGTGGTTTATGCGATAACTTTACTAAAGGGATCTTATTTAAAGCTTCCGGAAATGAGCACAACATCTATCATGACCAATAACTTGAACAAAGTCAGTACTCTCAAAATCCCGGTCACACTGACTTGTAAAATCGTTCTACTACTACGTAAAATAACTTAATCAGTGATAACTATTCTACCTACTTTGAAAGTGAAAGCGATAAGGAATTTAAACTTGTGTCAGTAGTCCATTGTAGATAAAGCCAGCTAGGACTTCGATATTAATTGATCTAGCTAGCAATCTATCTCAAACTGGATTTTCTAAGGAAACCTATCCTATGCACGTAGCTGTTATGCAAAGTGCCGTCTTCTATGTCACTCTTGTTTACCGTCGTGTCGGACTATAGTTTCGCGAATATATTAAAATTTATAAATGGAATTTATCACCCAACTAAGCCCCTAAAACATCAAGCTTCGTAGCGGCACCATATGTACTGCAGAAGGATGGTTTTGAAAGTCTTCCTTTTCCTACATGGGTTGTCACACATGGAAAGAAACCCTACTCTTCTCTGATATTTAACCCATTGCCGGTGGAAGATTGATTCTTGCCTTTAACGAAGTAGTTCGTGCGGTGTAACCGAAAGAGAATGGAACAGAATTCGAACTCGGCCCTCCGATTTTAATCTTTATGTTGATAATATTTATACCACCAGCATATACAATCCCAATTCGTTGAACACTAAACAATTAATAGACATTCTTAGAATTCAAAAGAATAATTAATATATGACAGCAAACGCTAAATAATGAGAGGCTAGAAAAACCAAGATAAATACATATACATATAAATGGTGATGTGAGAAAATAAACAGAGTAAATGATAGGGCGATAGATTAAGACAAGTGAGTGGGAAATATCCAAAAATTTCTAAGAAATTTCGACGCAGAGGATCAGAAAAATAGTGTGCTGTTCGAATAATGTATAAGCTTGGGAATTTTACGATTGCTGTTCAATCTCGTGCTAAATGGCGGCGTGTTATTCTGCCTCTCTCTTTTATATTCCCCAGCATGGCCACTAAGTCGTAATACATACACAGATTTACGACATTTGGCCACTAACGATGTCGCGCCAAATGATATTTCTCAAATACTCAGCAATATGTTATTGTCTTTTTGTGGCCATTTTATTCCCCACTTCACTCATTGGTCGCCATTTTAATATGGCCGATACCAAACCACACTTAAAACCCCGACCCGTTTCGTGTTTTTTTTTCACCTTTTTCTGTCTTTGTTTTTCCTTTTCTCTCAATCTTTCTTTCTGTTTTTGTTTGTTTGTTTTTCCCTTCAGTTTATCATGTCTTTTCGCTCTCAAACTTTCTATTATCGCCTCTGCTTTACTGTTTCTCTATCAGCCTCGATTTTTATTCTATTATTACTTCTTTCTAACGTCGCCTTCGTTATCACTTAATGCCAATTTTATTTGTGTCTTCATACTCAATTGGGTTTCACACTTGGCGTTCTCAGTTTCTCAGTTTACTCCTTCTTTTTCTTTCTCTTTTTAATGCTTCACCCCACTCTCTCTCTCTCTCTCTCTCTCTCTCTCTATCTATCTATCTATCTATCTATCTATCTATGTTCATTATCTATCTATCTATCTATTTATCTATCTCATTTATTTTCTTAAGAACATTTTTTATCATAGGTTATGTTAATTCCCAGGCAAATCTCGACTATTTCTTTTGTCGCAAACCATGATATCTCATAAACCCGTGAATTGTCTTCATGATTCCTTACGTAATTTCACCGTTGAGCGAAGCTCAAGCATTGACAATTTTAACTTATTCTGTTAGTGACATGTCCTGCATCTATTTTTAAAAAAAGTGCTATTTAGAGTATAATGTATGCTAGTGAGCAATCCACATTGAACAAGTTAATACACAAATGTGTACTAAGCCTTGAGCTTTCTTCCGCTCTGATTTAAATGTGGCGAGCCAAGACTTCGACGATTATACTGCACTAATGTTTCATAGAATGGCCTGTCTTCATCGTAAACTAGTATTTGAAACATTAGCATTTATCCGGATTAAACTAATGAAAGAGAAAGAAAAATAAAAGCGTAATACAAATGCATTCTACTTGGTGCCGTCTCATCTCTCTTAACTGTTATGCATTATGTCATCTTGTATTTTAAACTTTCAGCTTTCGAAAGAATAACAGGATGTTGATGACATGATTTTCCCTACAACACAGACAGAACATTTTTCATGCAAACGACTAAGACAGTTGAATGCTTTTAAACAAAAATTGGCATCTCCAATTCAGCCACTTTTCTCACCAACGTTCCGTGGCTTCTCTGTCTTCTTCTACAAATATTTTCATGGCAACTGGTCTGACAAGCTTTTTTCCGGGTGCCCAGACTGAATGAATTTAAATGTGCTAATAGATTGACATCTAGGTCACACCCGTTTACTGCTGAAACAGCTAAAAAAAAAAACAGCCACATCTACTCCAAAAGTTTCTTTTCACGTACTTTCTGCCTGTGGAACTCCCTTCCGTTTACTTGCTGCCCTGATATCTACAATCTTCAAATACTGAAATGCAACGTCAATCACCATATTCTGTCTTCTTGAATTCCGTTCATCTTTTGTCTTTTCCTCAATCCTCTCTATACTCAATCTTTTGTTCCACTAACACTTTGTAGCACCCATCCCTGCTCGGCGTACTAGTGGATTCTGGCCTTGTTTGGGGGCCTAAAAAAATTAAAAAAACAAAACAAAAAAAAACTTCGGGCAGTTTATTCACAATTTCGAACCCAATACCCATCATATTTTTAAAAGACTAAAAATTAAGCGTACTGACCAAGTAAGTTATATTTAATGTCTTCCATTCTTCATATATGTCATCAGTTTTATTGATAAATCGAAAGGATTTAATGAAACGCATATATTCTAATCTTAGCTTAAGAGTAATATTATTAATCCTGATCTGGCGTCCAGGATTCAGTCAATTTCCCACCACTGTAAGGTTGTCTCTCTGTGATTTCCTTATAAATACTATCATGGCAATTGAGCTCTTTGCTATGGTACCGATAATTTTTAAAAATTTAAGCGGATTACTAGACTGGCGTCGAGATCTCATCAATTTACAGTTGAGCAGGCTAGATGTAACCGTAAATTCAATTTATTTTCCCGCGCTTCTCGCTTGTATAACTCCCTTCCGGCCCCATACTTCCCAGCAAATTTAATCTGCAAAAAATTAAATGCAATATCAATCGCTGGAAGATCGGTTCTTCCAAAAAATGCCTAATTCCTACTGACATACTCTGCCTTTACAAGAATCAGATCAGACTAAGAATCGATTATTGCTACCATATATGGGCTAGTACTTCCTAATCCCCACTGTCCGGCTTTGGCAGGGTTCCAAAGCGATTATACGGCCATGTGAGTGTTTAGTTTCCACCGTGTAAATTCTTTCCCACAGATGAAACTTTGCAAGGTTCTCGCTACACTATTTCTATTACTATGTTCAAATTTTCAAACTGACTATATTCCATATTTTCACCAGCTCAGACGTTTATATCTAGAACTGATTACGTCACGCACACGTGAACCGAATTCTCTTTCGTCGTATTTCTTTGGTAAAGAGAAAACTCCAATGAGACTGCTTCTTTCCCAGAACTGTTATCATGTTTAATAGACTCCCAAGAGAATGCTCCTCCGATCATTAGAATCTTAACCTCTTCAAATCTAAGGTCAATAAATATATATCCTACATATCCTCATCATATGCATTTCTTCTGCTTACGCCCTTACAGCAGTCTCATTTAGTAAAACTGCCATAGGGTTCTCTTTAGTCTTGTGCTGGGTGAACCATAGTAGAAAAAAGATTATATAAGGATTTATATTTGACGTGCTGGTAGTGTGACGGCAAAAAGAAATTAGCTATAGTTATAGTCTATTTTTTATATAATCACATATTTTTATGTAAAAGAACACAGATAATTGGCTACGTAGTGCAGGGTTAAAATCTGAAACGAAAGATTGTATCCTTGCTGCACAGGATCAGTGCTTGTTAACTAAAAATTATCAAGCATACTAAAATATTGTGTTCTCCCCAAATTCAGCTTCTGTGATAATTATCCAGAAAATTTTGAACATCTTATATCAGGTTGTAACGTTTTGACACCCACTGGATATAAAACCCGGCATGACAGAGTTGGCCAATATCTGCACTGGAAAATTTCAACTTCTACGGGAAGGAATCTGAAAGAAAATGAACACCATCCAGACCCGGTTACGGAGATAGGATCTGTTACAATTTTATGGAACTACACAATACACACAGACAGAACAACCAAAGCTAACCGCCCAGACATCGTTATTAGAGATCGCAAACAAAACAAGTTCCTCCTTAATGATATGGCAGTCCCTGCGGACTTCAATTTATTTTTGAAGATCTTCAAAAAGCTATTAAAATACAAGGACCTTGAAATAGAAATCTCAAAAACGTGGCACATGAGAACATCAACAATCCCTGTTGTAGTTGGAGCCCTCGGATTGGTTAGAAAAGTATCCAGTAGACTAAGTGAATGGATTCCTGGAAGCTCATGCCTTAAAGCAATACAGAAAATTGTTCTCACGAGCATAGCCCACTCCTTACGAAGGTCTTTATCTATGTAAAAACAAAAAAAAATGCAGTGGAAAATGTCATGATGCCATTTCTAACCGTAGGTCCCTGGGCGAGACCCGGAAAGAAATGAGTACACATCAGAAATCAAAGGAAATAAAATAATCATCATAATAATAAGCGACTGAAATTAAAAACTGAATTGAATTCTCAGAACCGAATTTTGGTCATTAATAGCCTTGCCATTCCAGTGGTTCAATAGAGTTTCAACATTTTGAACTGATCTCTAAATGACATCAGATGAATGGATTCTTTCTAAGCATTACATGCATCACCCAAAGGTTGACACCGACCGACTTTACATACTCTGTAAAGGTGGAAGTGGTCTTATTCAGCTAGAATCGTCATACAAAACAACTATTGGCTTACTAACATGCATGGAAAAAAGTTCTGGATGATACAATTGGCCAAACAAAACGAAAACATTATTTACATTATTCGTACTATTGTCCTCATCTTTGTCGCCATATTTATTACAACGTTTCGGTCCTGTACGCTCCAGCCTTCAGTGGAGCGTACAGGTGGTTGGAATGTTGAAGAAGGCCGGAGCGTACAACGGCCGAAACGTTGTTATAAATATGGCGACAAAGATGAGGACAATAGTACGAATAATGTAAATTATGTACATAATACCTCATCTCAGAAATATAGACAAAACGAAAACAGAAAGAAAAAAAAACTCAATCATGAAAGAAGTTTGCAAATAGAAACTTAATTTACATTTAGTAGATTCTGTACAAAACCAAAAAAGAACTCCCCTCCCCCCAAAAAAACCCCAAAAAACAAAAAAAAACTATTGCAGCAAAAAAATATAAAAAAAGAAAGCCAAGGACAAAACACCTTGCACAGATGAAATGACACTGGCAAGACAAAGCTCAGCATGGACAATATCCAGAACGTACTAATAAAGCCGATGTTTATATGGTTAACACTCATCGATGGTTACCAGATGGTTATTAGAGGTTGAAACGGAAGGAAATATTCTTGCAGCACAAGACCAGAGTGTTTTCCCGACGAACTTTCAAATATCACACGTAATAGTGTGGCTCCAATATACAGATTCTTTGACAAATAACAGGAAACCATGAACAATCTAATCTCAGGAAATTCTATACTTGAGCCAAATGAATATAAAAAATCGTCACGATAGAGTGCGGCAATATTTACCCTGGACAATATGCAAACGCTTTGTAAAAGATTTTAATAAACATTGGTATGAACATCTCCCAGTACTGGTTACAGAAATAAAAGAATTCTATGGTATTTTACTATCTTTACAGAGAATAAATAGGAACAAATAAGCTGGACAAAATTGTCAAAAACCGAAAAGAAAAACAAAAACTTGCCTGCTAATTAATATTGCTTGTCCAGTAGACTTTAAGATAGCAATCAAGGAATTTGAAGAACTATAGAACTATAAAGACCTGGAAATCGAAATACAAAAATGTGGAAATTGAAAACAAGAATAGTAAGAGTCAGAGAAGGTGCACTTGGAATGGCAATAAAGGAACACAATATCACATTGAAAATATCTCAGCTTGAGAGAAAATTGTCCTGATAAGTACAGCCTACACACTAAGAAGAACTTTGTGCATGTAATGCTAATGATGTTATGGGAGTTAGAAAAACAAATAATGAAATTTAGCCATATCAACACATCACTACCTTCCTTAGATATTCCTGCAGACTTGGTAGGTAATGTGACCATAGCAGAAATCGAAATATAATGATCATGATAATAATAATACCCAAATGAAGGAGAAAGTAAAAAAAAAATACATCAGGTGTATGCGTCTGGTGTTAAATGACGAATTGAATTCACAAAACAGAGTATCACAAATACTTTGACTCTCTCTGTGGTGAAATACAGTTTCATTATCCATAATTGGACAATAGCTGACATTAAGCGAATGGATATCAAAACGTGAAAGCTTCTCACATGCCACCGTATGAATAATCCTAAGGCTGATGTTGATCGTCAGTATGTGTTCAGATCTGAAGGAGGCGGAGGAATAT